AGAAATCTTCTTGTTTGGGGCGACAGTTTTGAATTCGATTCTCGGCTGGTAGTGAATAGCACCACCGTCCTCAAGCCAGGGTCCGAGATTCTTGCATTGACTGACATCGAATATCTCGAGTTGGTGGCAGCCCTCTGCAACGGCCTCAACACCAACGCCAGTGACTCGAACACAGCCACGGACCGATAAATGTCGGAGAGAAAGTAGGTGAAGACCGATGCTCCTGAGGGAGGGATCGGAAATTGCAGAGCCACAGAACGCCATGTTGAGATACTTCAAATGGGAGCACTGCAATGCAAGGACCTCGGTCGCCGTATCTGACAATGCGCAGCAAAAGGTCTGGCAGCGGTTAGTAAACCATCATATTTCACTTTTAGTTTGGCTACACTTACCAGATCTAATACTTCCAGGTTTTTGGCCGCGTTGGTTAGATGGACGATGGCGTTGTCCGTCAAATACGTGCAATCCGCCAAGCAAAGCTTTCGCAGGTTGGTGAACTGAGCATTGCCCCAGTATTTGAACCCTTGATCTGTGATTGTGGTGCAACGAGTCAAATCCATTTCCTCAATCCGACCAGCGGCGTGAGACGCAATGTGATGCATAGATCGATCGGTGACATGTTTGCAGTACGAGAGTGTGAGTTTCTTCAGATTTGGACAGCCGTACACTGTACATTCTGCTGTCTGGATTGTGGGTTTGATCGATGACTGTTTCTCGCCCATCTTCTGGTCGGCGGGCACTACCCACCCAATGATCCGGGCGAGAAGTGTATCGCCGACCTTGCGGCAATTGCTCAAGTCAACCTCCTGCATATTAGTAGCCTTGCTAGACATGTCGAGAATGGCAGAGGCTGTAACGTCCCACACACTCTTCATCTTCCACACGGTGGTATTTGGGGCGCAAGTCGCGGCCAATACCGTGAAGCCTTCGTCGGTGATGTGAAAGCAATTGTTGATATTGACTGATCGGGCTCGATTACCGACAAAGGGACAAATTATCTTAGTAAGAACATCATCTGTAATCCTGCGGTTGTAGACGCTCAAATCTAGATCATGGATCACGTCCGCAGATCTTGTCAAGAGCTCTGACCAATGGGAGGACACTGCTCTGATCCGAAGAAGGTGGTGGAGCTCAAGGAACTGAAAAATGTTCAGTAGTACACTGTCCGGGAGTAATCCATTGGAACCATCTATCCGGGGCCGTTCGGTCTGATATGACTTGGGGAGGTCGCCAGTTTCAGGGAGGGTGAGGGTTGAAGAACTGGCAGAGCGCGGCTCCGTGGGAGATGGCCGCTGCTGCTCCCCTGATGCCTCCTCGGGGCCTAGTGGTGCTAGCGAGCCGCGTCGACTTCGCATCCGGACTTTATCTAGACCCATGCTGAAGTATGGGTCGGGGTCAGAGGGCCGTAACACAGCCTGGTCTTCGTCTTCAACACGCGTGGACTGATGTGGTCCATCCAGTTCAGTTTCAGTGAGGGTAAGTAGTGGCATTGACCGTCGCCGTGATGATGTGACTTTTACTCTGTCGTCGAGGGCTAGATTGTCCATAGATGGTTGCGGCTCTGCCTCGTCAGACATGACAACATCACCATCGGCTGCCGCCTGCAGCCTTGCTTGGGCAGTACGTTCGACTTGTTCCTTCACGCCACTAGGGCATTTCTCCCAAAATTCAGCAAGGACGTCACCGCTGAGCATCAAGCACTCAACTGAAGTCACAGATCGAACTGTAGCGGTTCTCCGAGGTGCTAAATCTAAGCTGACCACCTCGCCAAAGTACTGGCCTTGCTTTAGCCTAGCTTTGACCTCAATTCTCGGCCGTTCAATGTGCCCATTTGGACCGTTTTTATTTGCTGAGTAGTCCGTCTCTGCCTTTTCCGCAAGAACTTCGACCTCGCCGCGAACAATGAAGTAGAGCTCACGACCCTGGGAGTCTTGTTTTATGATGTCGGTAAATGGAGGGAAAGATCGCGGTTGAGCATTGAGACCAAGGTAGTGGAGGATGTCGGCAGGAAGCTCAGAAAAAAGTGGCAGCTCTTTAAGTAAGAGACGCACGTTGACCAAACCATTTGCCAACGCGCTGGAGCCATCCCGCCGACCGGGGCTCGGTGACTTCCTCTTCTTGTACACAGACTTGGCACTCGTATCCCCGTCATCCTCTGCAACAGCTAAATCCTTCGAAAAGCTCTCGCGCAATCTTTTTGAGCCTCTTCGCGCTGGGCTCGGATCCAATGCAGGCGCGGAGGTTTCTTTTTTTTTCTTTTCTAAAATCATCAATCGCTCCTGCGCCTCCTCCCGGATCGCTTGTTCGACCTCCGGAAACCGAGGTAATATATTCCGAAAGTCGTCCTTTGTCAGCACGACCAGCATGCATCGAGTCCGGGCGATAATGGTCGCAGTGCGAGGACGGTCCATGAGCAATCCTATTTCCCCGAAGAACGCACCGGGTTTGAGCTCGGCGTATATACTCTCACCATCCCGAGATGTGACCGAGACGGCACCCCGCACCAGCCAGTATATTGCCTTTGCCTCATCGCCTTCCGTCAGGATGTAATCGTTGGGTGCATGGAGCTGTGGTCGCAGGTGCTGTCCAACCTCAATCAAAAAAGATTCCGGAGTAGATTGAAACAGCGGGAAGGACCGCAACCGATCTATCAGTTCCAAGGGCAAAGCTTTGATGTGGGAAGAGGCCAAGGGTGAGGGACGCGCGGGTCGGTTTGGGTTCAGAACCGAATCGAACGAACGTATGAGGGATACAGTATCGGACAAGGGCGAGACGGCCTTTGTTGGACCACCACTGGACCTGCCATGGCGACGCATTGTGAAGTATTCTGGAGGATTCAATTATTGCTCCCATTCAATAAATCGATGACGTCGACGAAAGCAGCGTCGAACTTCGCATCGGCATCTTCGCCCAATGGGTTGGTATTGTAGTTTAACAGATAGACATGTAAGGTATAAAGGAGAAGTAAAGAGTGGGAAAAAAAAGATAAGTTGGAGCTAAGGTCTTCAGTGAGGTGGGGGGTTTTGCGAATCGATGTCAAATGCGGTTTCTCCACCGATCAGCTGGGAACCTTCGGAAACTCTATGAGAACCTCCACTTTGAATTTTTTTTTGGGTTATTTCACTTAAATCATTATATGTTGTAGATATCTTGAAGACTTTTTTTTTTTTTCTTTCTTTCCTTTTTTTTAGTGGGGGACGTCACTAAGCGGTCAATTCCTTTGAACCTGCAGCATCCGGGCCGATCTCTATCTTTTTGCTTATCCCCGGAAACAAAGAAAAAACGATTGGGGAAGAGACAGGTTTCGTAAAGGTGTTCCAAGGTTGAATCAGCTGATTTACATCATTTTATACATCTTACCTAGGTAGTGTTAAAGCATCAGGGTTGCCTTTTATGTCATATTACATAGTATCTCCAGGGCTACTACCCCATCGTCTCTTAACTTGTTGAACTTCAAATATTGTTTATAAAATCTCAAAATATTCTAGTCCAAATGCAATCTAGTCACGCCACAATGGCGTTGCCAATCAACCTGGGACGTGATCCTACTCCAAGACAGAATCCGGCGATGGGTCACGTGCCCCAATGTAGTAATGTACATAGTAACCCAAGGGCAAAAATGTTTTTGTTTGATGCTAATTGAACAAGTGGGTATCAAAAAAAGCAAATAATACAAGTAACCAAGTGTGTGGCGTGTACATTGCTGCCGATGAACACAATCAGGAGAAAGGCCGGGATAGTCACCGGACCAAATATCTCAGCGTGGCTCGATGAGAACCTAAACATAGTATTGGGGCGGCATTCACTCGGATGTGCGGCTCGTATCGCTAGCATCAAATACCTAGCATCAAATACCTACCACCTGGAGCAGCATATATAGCAGCCATTTCTCGATCGAACACCGAAGAGCGTCCTAAGAGTGAAGTGGGAGAGCCTACAGCATTGGTTCTCGGCATTGAGGACATCTCAAACTTGCCACGAGACTGGATCTCTGTAACGGAAGGATCTAGGGAGGCATTGTAACATGGGCCCACCTATGATCAGATTGATCCTTCCTTCTCGACCTTAGACCGACGGTTACCGAGGAAGAAGTCAATGTAGGCAGGTCGGTTTCCTTTCAAAGTCTCAAGGGAATCTTGCAAAAGACCATAGGTCAAGCTCAATTTCAACCCAAGCTTCGCTGTGCGGGCGGCAGTGTAGACATCGTGACGAGCTGTGTGAGCGAGCTAGGTCAGCTTCAGTTCCTCCAGTAATGATGCCCAGGAAAAATGGTTTCCTTACAAAGCAAGCTGTATATTCCGGAGAATGACAACCCAGCAGTGACTGTCGATAAAAAGTCTCTCTTGTCATGCCGGGCATAGTCTACTGTCTCCTCAAACAGACAGAATGCAAATGCGCCAGCACCGAGCTTGAATCCCATCTTCATGCCATCCTTAACGCCTCCAACCACGCCAACATAGTTTTTCGTTTTATGATACTGGAACCACCCTGTTGATGTCGTGGGGAAACGATGCGCATTCTCCGCCCGAAACACAAGCCCTGCCTTTTTGCTGCCGTGGTAATATCCTAGTGCTAGCCCAGTCGAGAAAGCAGACATAGTAGCATATGGCAACCGCTTGCCGAACTCAATGCCTAACCGTGGAGGGCTATCGGATTCAAACAGCTTGTCCCAGTGGACGATCTTGAGCACAATGGAATTATGCCGCGAGGAGTCGGTAGATGGGGGGTGATTGGCCTCCATGGCGAAGCCTGTAAAAGAGGATTGAGTGCACTAGCCAAAAACAAAAGAAAGGAAAAGAAAACCACAGTTTGGCCGTAGAGAACGTGGTGAATGTGAGGAACTGAAGCTGGCAAAGCTCAGAAATTCGGAGCGCGGAAGACGGAGTCCCACCGGATTCTCCGCCTTCTGTCACTCCCAAATCAATAATTACTCGGACGCGACCTACCCTTTCACTCCCCCACAGTCTCCAAGATGGTATGTGAATTAGTAGCCTTTCCAAATGAAGATTATTGAGTACAAGCTCATTGCCGAGCAGCCACCTAAGCAATCCGAAACCGACTCACGCGCTCTGACAATCCTCTTCAAGAAGCATAAAACTACTGTCCTTCTGATGCTCCAACCCCACGAATCACTCGACTTCGCCAAAGAAAGGGTTCTGGATGCTTTGAAATCACGAGATATCAAGGGCATAAATGGCGATCTTCTTCCTGAGGATTCCTGCGACATTGAGTTCGGTGAGCCTATCGACCGAGCGGACCTCGAGAAAGGCTGGAAGCGCCTCGAGGCAGATGTGAAGTCACAGAATGAGTCAGTGACTATAATGGAGTTGGGGCTTCAAAATGGGCATTCAATTGCCTTCCGCTTCCACAAATCCAGTGAGGATCCAGGGTGGGATGTCGTCATGCCAACCTATGAGGACGATCAAGCATGATAGGGTCATTATGGATGACTCGCAAGAAAGAAATAGGTCAAAGAAGATATACTTGTGGCTTTCGGCGTCTCAGAGGGGGGTTCTAGTTATTCAAAACATCACAAGGCGTTTATTCGGACAATAAAAAAGGTGTTAGGACTACATCAACACCAAATACGATCTTTTCATTCATAGCAATGTTGCCCATACATCTCTAGAATAAGCATATAACTGCCACTGGTACATAGGGTATAGTGATAGTAGATGTCATAATAATATCGTGATCGCTGTGGTTTAAGCATCCTGAGAATAGCGTACTATGCAAGCCTAATAATAGCCACAAATTGGTCGCGATCTTGAAGTGGGTGCGAATAAAGCGAGAAGGACGTGTACATTACCTGAAACACTCATATTGCGAGCAACTGTGAACTCTAATTATTGAATGAGGGGTATTGCCACTCTCAAATTAACAAACACCACTTTAAAACGGTTGCTCCGCGCAACCATTAGGTGACAACATGGACACGCATCAACAAATGAAATCACTTCAAGGAGCCCCCCTTCGGATAATACGCCTCCAACCACATACAGCTTGAGATCCATTCTTTGACTTTTCTACATTCCTTATTTCCGACATCAGATAACTATTCCCCCTTGGCCTTGCTATTGTAGGGTGTCGCCAACCGCCTGACGTACCGACCCCGCAAAACAGTTTCGAGACTTGGGGTTGATCTGACCCGACCTTCCAACATGGCTGCCTCCGATGGCGCTTCCTCGATTAGCGTTGCAGTTAGAGTCCGTCCTTTTACTATCAGAGAGGCAGCCCAGATCACTCGATGTGACGAGGGTCCCCTGTTCCTCGGCGACGGTTCCCTGGCGGGTGCCCCGACACCGAAGCTTAACCAGAAGGGTATACGATCTATCGTTAAAGTGATTGACGACCGATGCTTGTAAGTATTCTTTGCAATTTAGATATTGGGTCCAACATCCTAACTAGACTAGGGTGTTTGACCCCCCGGAGGACAATCCTGTCCAAAAGTTCTCCAGGAGCGTGGTCCCTAACGGTAAGCGCGTCAAGGACCAGACCTTCGCCTTCGATCGCATCTTCGACCAAAATGCCTCCCAGGGAGAGGTATACGAGTCTACAACGCGAAGCCTGCTCGACAACGTGCTCGATGGATACAATGCGACAGTCTTTGCGTATGGAGCCACCGGATGTGGAAAGACCCATACAATCACCGGAACTGCCCAACAGCCTGGTATCATCTTTCTCACAATGCAGGAGCTGTTTGAGCGGATTGACGAACGAGCAAGCGAGAAGTCGACGGAAGTTTCTCTTTCCTACCTCGAGATCTATAACGAAACCATCCGCGACTTGCTTGTCCCTAGTGGCAGCAGCGGAAAGGGTGGTTTGATGCTGCGGGAGGATTCCAATCAGTCAGTCTCAGTTGCTGGGCTATCAAGTCACCACCCGCAGAATGTGGGGCAGGTAATGGACATGATCATGCAAGGCAATGAGCGCCGTACCATGTCTCCCACCGCAGCAAATGCTACTTCATCTCGATCGCATGCCGTTCTTCAAATAAACATCGCCCAAAAAGACCGAAATGCGGACGTCAACGAGCCTCACACCATGGCCACATTCAGCATCATCGATTTGGCCGGAAGCGAGCGTGCCAGCGCGACACTGAACAGAGGAGAACGTTTATTTGAAGGCGCCAATATCAACAAGTCTCTGCTGTCCCTAGGCAGCTGCATCAACGCACTCTGTGACCCACGGAAGCGTAATCACATCCCCTATAGAAACTCTAAGCTCACTCGATTACTCAAGTTTGCTCTTGGCGGCAATTGCAAGACGGTCATGATCGTCTGTGTTAGCCCTTCAAGCCAGCACTTTGATGAGACCCAAAATACTCTCCGATATGCAAATCGAGCGAAGAATATCCAGACCAAGGTAACACGGAATGTGTTCAATGTTAATCGACACGTGAAGGACTTTTTGGTCAAGATCGACGAGCAAATGAACTTGATCAATGAGCTCAAAGCACAGGCAAAGGACCATGAAAAAGTGGCCTTTGCCAAGTTCCGCAAGCAGGGCGAGAAGAAAGACGCTGTTTTGCGCGAGGGGGTTGCCCGGATTCGCAATGCTTACGAACACACTTTGCCCGAAAGGCAAGAGAAGACAAACAACATGTTGAAACTCAGGCAAATCGGGCGCAGAATTGGCATTTTATCATCTTGGATTGCTGCCTTTGATAATGTTTGCGCCGCCCACGAAACCGAGGAGGGATTATCCAACCTACATGCCGTTCGCAAATCTGCACAGGGAATCCTCCTTGAACTGGAAGGTAGTAGACACCATTACAACCAGAAATTATCAAAGAGCACCTGGGACCGACCGGTAAACTCGGCGGTCGAGAACGCGGTAAAGCAACTTCAAGAGTTTGATATAACCGATAACAGCGACTACGCCAATTTGAATCGAGAAGCAGATCTTCTTCGGTCCAATGCAGAGCGCGAATCCTTGACAGCCGTGTTAGAACAAGACAAGGCTGGAGAAGCTGCTGCTGTGCAGCTTCTGTTACAAGCACAGTTTGAGATAATGACCTCAATCGAGGAGATCATGCAGCTAAACGCAAATGAGGCTATTAAAAAGGGACGGTCTATCCTTACAAAGATGTTAGAAGACTGTTCGGATGTAACAACCAACCTTGTCAAACCAGATGGCACCATGCCATCTGTCCCGAACGTCAGCTCTGCCAGGTCTGCAAGCCCCATAAGACCAAAGAAGCGCTTTAGCTTGGTGAGCTTGCCACCAGTATCGACTGCCAACCCTCCAGTCACACTCACACCTGCTGCTCCTGTTTCACCAACTAAAGGCTCTCCACGTCGCCGTAAAGGCACTGTCGGCCGGAAGAGTGTCAGCTTTTCGCCAAAGAAAGTCCAGGTGAAGGTCCCCAAACGATCAGTCCGATGGAAGGATGACGAGGAAGAGGGCACTTTGACCGAGTTCCAAAAGACCCCTAAGAAGGTCGATTCTGCCGACGAGGCCAGCTTCGATCAGTCATGGTTGCCACCTCGATCCGGATCTCCGATACCACGGAATGTCCCGAGGGTCGTAAGCCCATCGGGTTCTATCTCTCCCACGCCGGATGAGCCTACTGGATCCGCTGAGCCTACCTTGAACATTCAAAAGAACAACAGTCGGTTTAAGACAGGGTTTTTGACCAAAAGAAATGGTAGCTCACCACTGGCACCGCGACCATCATCCAGTCTTCCTCTTTCAAGGAGAGAGAGCTCTCCCCTCCGTGATATTGAAGGGAGCAGCTTTATGAATCGCACCTTGGCGGAACGTCCGTCGCGGATTGCAGTTCGTAGCCCCAGCGGGAACTTTTCGAGCAGTCCAGTATCTGAAAACAGGGACAACTGGAAGTCAGACAAGGAAGAAGCAATTAAGATTAACTCGGCTATGCGACGAATGTCTAGTGGGCGGATTGCTAGTGGACAGTTTAGCACACCATCCTCTAATGCCCTACGAGTTCACCGTCGCCGCAGCCCAACTTCCAATACCCACGCGACCTCTCCAGCAGACAACCACATGTTCACCGCATCACAAGCGCGGCGCATGGTCAAGAGTGAAAGAGAGCACGATGCCAAGCATCGGGTCTTGAGTCCTCATACTCTCCCAGTCATGAAGCATACGGGACGCCGTACAACTTTGGGTGCCGACGGTCGACCTCGAAATATCAGCCTATCCAGCAGAGATGCCATCCGTCTCAGTGCAATGGCAGCGCCCCCTGACAACTCACAATGGTAGTGGGAGTCAATGACTTTTTGTTTTCAACTTTTTTGTTTGTAATTGGCGCTTGGCGTAGCAGATACCACTTTTTTGACAGAATTGTTATGTGTTTTTAGTTGTACAATATCAATAATTTCGGGATGGGGTTGCCGAGCCCCGGTCTTCCACCAATCCCTATCGAAATTCCCCGCTGCTTTGTAAGTTTTTTGAAATGACGCGATCGCGAAGCTCCAATTTCTCCAATTTTTGAGCTTCTATTTCTTCGGGCGTTTCTTTTCTTTTCTTCTTATTCCATTACTCTTACATCTATTTCTGAAAACTACTCCCTTTCAATTACTGCAGTACTCTATACAACTACAGCCTCTTTCACTCTGGACCTCAAGCATCCCCACTTAGTTTATCAAGTACGTCTCCACCATCAGAATTTCTGCAGATGAATCTCGCTCCGGTTGCTTCGACCCTTTTCTCACGCTTCTTCCGTCCCTTCTCCAGCTCAGCTTTTTCCTTGAGCCCAGAAACACAATCCCACAAAATGTCAGGCACACAGACCGCGACCGTAGCAGCTGGCTGCTTCTGGGGCGTTGAACATTTGTACCGCAAGAATTTCGGCAACGGAAAAGGCCTCCTTGACGCCAAGGTGGGCTACTGCGGTGGCGCAAGTTCGTCGCCATCGTACCGAGCTGTGTGCTCCGGTTCAACTGGCCGTAAGTGCTATTGCTATCTGAGACAAAAATAGCGCGAAGCTCCTTATCGCGATAATATCTTCAAATGCTTATTTTTTCCCCCACAGACGCCGAAGCCCTCCAGATATTTTTTGATCCCTCAATTGTGACCTACCGCCAGCTCCTCGAATTCTTCTATCGCATGCACGACCCCACAACAGAAAACCGGCAAGGTCCGGATGTTGGCACACAATATCGCAGTGCGATCTTTACACACGGGGAAGAGCAACAGAAGATCGCAGAGGATATTACAGAAAAAGTCAGTAAGCAGTGGTATAAAACCCCGCTCGCTACCAAGGTCCTGCCGGCAGGTCAGTGGTGGGATGCAGAGGAATATCACCAGCTCTATCTTCAAAATAACCCTGCTGGATATGAGTGTCCTGCTCAGTATGTGCTCCCGTCCTTCCAGTTCCCTTTGATCGGGTTGCTAACTTGCTTTTAGTTTTATCCGACCTTTCCCTCCTTTGTCGGATTGACTAGATTCCAAATTGTAATTTATTTAGCTCACGTCTTCATAATGTGTACCCGAAGATTGAATACAAAAGTCAATATTTATAATACGGAGCTTTGTGCTTGTATGGAGACCTTCCCTTCCCTGTATATCGACCCTGGTATGCAGATACTCTTGCGACCAGAGAAGCCATGATTCCAATAAATAGATATGGAAGGATCAATCTCCCCAGGGCTACCAGACTACAAAGAAAAAGTTTGATATGTGTGCAATAGATAGGGCTATCTACCATTCGCACACCAGGAAGCAAAAGCCAAGAGACTTGAGCCTGAGCATCTCGAGCCACTATGGTGGCTTTTGTGCTCTTGCTCGCCTGGATAATCGATCAAATTGCCAAGTTCGAACGCAATTGAGCCTTCCCCCGAAAGATGCAGCTTTTCCACCATGTTGCCGAGCTTTGGGCATGATTTTGTGACAGCCCTTTTGCTGAGAAATGGCATTTCACCAAACCCGATAGATGGTCATGGTCGATCACCATTATCATACGTTGCGGAGAAAGGTCACCTAGCGACTATTAAGGTGCTTCTCCAACATGAACCAAATTTGAATCATAGAGGTGGAAGATGGAACACTGCTTTGTGGGCGGCTGCCGTCAATAGCCACACATCAGTCGTACAATGCTTGATCGACCATGGAGCAGTGGTTGATTTGTCATGAAGGCTGCTTTCGAGGGTTGCCTCTAGGGATTACACATCGACACGAGAATTACTACTCAAGCACCACCCAGCTGTCAATGACGATAGCCATGAATTCATTGATTCTTCCTTAATGTCGGCATGCAAATGGGGACACATAAATAGTGCCATGTTGCTTCTCAAAAATTCCGCTCAAGTGAACTTTTCACGAGGCTTCAAAGGGACAGCTCTACAAGCAGCTGCACTCAACGGCCACGAGCAGTTGGGAACTACTCTTTTGGCCCATGAAGCTGAAGTTAACACCCAAAATGGTCAGTACGGCTCTTCTCTACAGGCTGCCTGTGCCGAGGGTCATCGAGATATTGAAGATTTACTCTTGAAGGAAGGAGCCGATGTTGACTCAGCAGGGGGTGAATAGGGCAGCCCGCTTCAAGCTGCTTTGTTTCTTAATCAACCCGATGTTGTAGAACTATTATTGAAACAAGGAGCTACCATAAAGTGAAACCAGCCCAGCCAATATTACGGATTTCCTCTTCAGGTTGTGGCCTTACAGGGCAGATTACCAATACTTCATATGCTTCTCAATCTACATGCTGACGTCAATATGTCTGGCGGACACTAGATTCGGCTCTTCAGGCAGCCTGCGCGGGAAACAGTGCCCTAGCTGTGGATCTTTGATCGGAAATGGGGCTGATGTCAGGTATAAGGGCGAAAAATACGACACTGCTCTTCACGCAGCCGCTGTACGTGGATTCTATCCTAGTTGTGAGAGGCTTATTGCCTCTGGGGCTAGTGTTCATGAATGTTTGGGGGAGTTTGCTGCCTCACTTCATGCAGCTACAACTTATGGTCATGAGAGTGTTGTGCAGTAGCTTCTTGAAAAGGGTGCTGGTCCCAATCCGAAAGGGACAGGTGATCGCCTTGCAGTCCCTTAGGAGTAGATGGCGGCCATCTATCTACTGTGAAGATATTGATGGACATATCACGGCAGCTGGGGGTATGCCTGAATGGCTGTGACAGCGCACTCAGTGTTTTAAAAAGACGAGGGGATATCGATGCCGTTGAATGATTAGCTTTGAGTTTGAGACGATATTTTCTTTTGAATTTTCTTGCATATAACATTGAAGTTTATATACGTGATTGTGGGGCTCTAAGCTTTCCCCTTTTTCTTGTCACCCCATGCTCACTCGCCTAAACATGCTGCTAACGTGCTCAAACACAGATGGATTATTTTGCTGATTATAATCTGTAGGTCAACCTTGGAATAGCCCTAAAGGTCCGGGAGTACCTGTGCCGAGGTGCCGAGGTGGGACAAATTCGGCGTTATCTTATCTAATCTTATCAGGCAGATGGGTCTTGTTGGGAACCTTGGAATACGGCAGTGCGTCAGCCTCGGTCTCAGCCCTGGAGCACTTCCTCACAGAACAGTCTCTTCCAACTTCCCGGGTTCGTCTACTCTTATTCTCTCTTTCATCTTCTGTGAAATCAGTTCGGGCTATACTGCATCACAACAACTTGCCAATTTTCGACGAACTTCTTCCAGGGGTCACTTTCCGCAGTCCTAACCATGGCTCTGTACAACCAAACTGTGGATTTCCTTTCCGATGCCTTCTCAAAGAATCAGGCTCAACTTCCATTACTAGCGGTGACTGGGGCTTCATTCACACTTGGTTTACTCGCTCGATCCATTTTCCCTCGAAATGAACCGCTCCAGACTGTTCTGGTCTCGCCTCGATCGACAGTCTTGCCTGGTATATCCGAGTCGGAGAATCGCCAGCTGCCTCTACCGGCTGATGTCCTACCCGGTGCTCGTGATGTAGATAGCCCGTACGGATCGATCCGAGTGTATGAATGGGGCCCCGAAGATGGTCCCAAGGTGTTGTTCGTGCACGGTATCACCACGCCGTGTATTGCGCTCGGCGGGGTGGCCCATGCGCTGGTGGATCGCGGCTGCCGTGTGATGCTATTTGACCTGTAGGCGTTAAAGAACATTCAACACTTGGATTTTTTCGCTAACCTAAAGAAAATAGGTTCGGAAGAGGATATTCCGACTGCCCTGCTGATCTTCCACAGGATGACCGTCTCTTCTCAACACAGATCTTCCTTGCTCTGACATCATCGCCTATCTCTTGGACAGGTGTGGAGTCTGGTAAATTCTGCCTTACCGGGTATTCCCTAGGGGGTGGCATTGCCGCTGCCTTTGCATCCTACTTTCCTCACCTTCTGTCGTCATTGGTGCTCTTAGCCCCTTCGGGCTTGCTCCGCGATTCGCACATCAGTTTCCAGAGTCGACTCCTTTACTCAAAGGGTCTTATGCCTGAGAATATCTTAACGTCCTTGGTTAGGCGTCGATTGAGAGCTGGCCCATTGACAACGCCCCAGCCCAAGAACGCGAAGCTTAATGCCGCAAATGCACTCACCGAGGAACTGCCTTCCCAAAGCGCTGCAGCAACTCAGATTCTGTCCCGAAACTACCCTCACATCAACATCCCGTCTACTGTGGCGTGGCAGGTGAACAATCATACTGGGTTTGTCCATGCGTTCATGTCTAGCATGCGTTATGGCCCAATCCTACGAGAGCGCCAATGGAACACATGGAAGCGTCTCGGCGAGTATTTAACTACACAGAATGCCACCTCAGGCAGCGAAAACAAGAGGTCGACAGATAACAAAGTCCACATTCTGTGCGGCAACAATGATCCAATCATTGTCAAAAGTGAGCTTGTTCCAGATGCCACAGCTGCCCTCGGTGGCAATGTTGTCTTCAAATTCTACGAAGCAGGACATGAGTTCCCCAGCACCAAGTACGAGGAAGTAGCGTCTTACATTTTCGAGGTACTATGAGCAAGGGGTTTCGGGGTTTCACGGAATATATACACTTTTGAGGGGGAGGTTTGGGATATATCCACGTTCATTGGACTCTTATTCAGTTCCGTTTGGTAGATCCACTATACATAGAAGTTGGTGTTGGATGATTCAAATTTTTCATTTTTTCGTTTGCTTTCATTTCCTAACTTCCAGTCTTTAGGATCTCCTCCATGGCATTGAGTTGACTTGATAGCCCCGTGAGGTGTGCCGATCTCTCCGGCATCCGCGCACCGGCAAAGTAAGGGCCCTCGGAGGCTGGTGCTCGTGCAAATCGATCCATACTGCTGCGGTTGCTCCCCGGTACTTGGCTGACGTTGCCTTGGCTGACGGCGTTTGTACTGGTGCCATTTGCAACACTGGGAGAAAGCTGGTTAGCTGGTTGATAAAAGATGAACTGAATATAGATACACTCACGTTATAGTCCTTGGCTCCGGAATAGACATGGTATGTGTGGTTGGTTGTTGGTGATAGATGTATGGTTTCCACGGGTTCAGAGGAATACCAGAGTCAAGTCACAAGGAAGAGGTCCAGTAGAAGGAAGTAAGGTTGTGATAGTGGTAGTCAAGAGTGAGGTATGTGTTTGGGTTTGATTGATATGTTTTGAAAGAATTGTAGAGATGATGAGCTGATGATGCCCATAATACAACTGAGGGGAGCTCCTATATATACACTGCAAGTCTGACGCTATGCATGGGGACGGCATGCCTTTGCGGCCGGACACGCGAGCTTGAGCTTCGCATCATAGCCCACATGGACAGTATGAGTTAAGCGAAGGAGGAAACGAGGAAAAGATCTTCATGGTACTGCATTTACTCCGCCTGTGATGGCATCTCGACCCTTGAGCTCAACGCTTGCCAAGGCTAAGTCTGCATGAACCATGCAGATTCTGGGACTGTTTTGGCCTGATACCCCGAGGGTCCATAGCCAAAAGCACATACCCGTTCGGCTCATATATGCAAAACAAGCGACAAGTCTGATATTATTGGCTGAACTGCAGGTGACCGGGGCGAGCAGGCAGGTACCAGCCGCATAAGACTAGGAAAGGCCCACTTTTATGATCATCCTGAGCGTAAATACAACATTCCTCTTCAGCACATGGCCGGCCACATGTTTCAGGTTGTATCCAGACTCTCGACATATGTGCCGTGGAATGAAGCGAGGGGGTACATTACAAATCGGTTCTTATTTCTGTAAACGGGTCTATAGATTTATCAAACAAGGGACAAGATCACCACTTTGAAACGTAATTTTAGAGAGTCTAGAGATCTTTGAAACAAATCCGAGCCATCATTAGCGGCAAAAGCGCTTTGCAAATGCCGGCATTCTAGCATGGGATTACTATGCAAACTTCTAGGTTGAAACAATGTCGGGGGCCAACGTGGTCGATCACATGGTCCTGTTAACCTAGGGGCTCAGCTCTAAGAGGTCAAAAAAAAAATAAAATAAAATAAAACAAGGCTTATGATGCTGCATTTTCCGGGCCACGCGCGCCTGCTGCATGTGTCCTTCATTTTCCCATTCTTGATGCCAATGCTGCAGATCTTTCAACGGCGACTCCGGATTAGGGCACGGCTCCGTACAAGATATTCTGATAGCAGGTTCATACCAGACTTTAGCCCTAAAAGTTATTTTGCATCTCGGTAATTTCAAATACAGGAATGCTTGGATCATGCACTCGAAATTCGAAGATCTCCGAAATGCCAGTGACTTATTTTTGAAACCCCCAAATTGGAAGGTGTCTAAGTAAAGGGGATAAATTAAAGCTAATTATGATGAGTCCAACTGCTAGGCCATCTCAGGAAGGGAAGCATCAGCCATAGCATTTTAGCCTTGGAGTGCCATCAAGACCCATTCGCTGATCAAAGGGATCTTCAGAGGCGTTCGTTTACGGGACATGAGAACCGAACGTCTCGCTAAAGACTACCGAGTGTCTTATCTCTATAGCGCTGCATGTTCGCTAAGAACTACCGAGTGCTAGAATTTGCGGGCCGAGGGCAGTGGACCGTACCGCATACAGAAACTATATCCAGATGTATACATTATTGGCTTCCTTTCTTAAATTTTTGGCTGAACCCAAGCCACAATCGCCATATGGAAGCTAGTGTTTCAGGATAGCAAGGTTGATTTTCCATCTCCGAATTTGCTCATTCCCCTAAGCAATGTTTGAAGTCTCCTGTTAGGATATGCAAGGCACGTCTAGCGGAATTTCAGCAACCTTATCTCCATACGCTACGGCGACGATCACTTAGCTCGCTAAAAGTCCCTAAAGGCCGATCATTCGTCTCAGGTGAGCTGACCTGGTACATCATCCAATGGCGTCTTAGTTGATATGCTCCCAACCCCACGACGATCTCAGCCGCGGAGAACTTGAAGTCAAGAACTCATTCTTATTTTAGATTGGAACTAGCCCCTGAAGCTTACAGAAACTCAATGGGCGGCCTTTGATCTCCTTGATTTTACCTATCACAAAATTTAAATAAAAGCTCGCCAAAAACGAACTATCAAGGGGGAAATTGACAAGGGCGTTGACAGAAGAGGAAGGGATCATCGATATAGATTCCTCTTTGGGACCTTACCAATCAAGGAAGGGCGCCTCAGTCTGAAACGCGACTCAATAATTCAACTTCATCTATAGCGGGATCCGGCACGGAGTATGAATGCCGAAAGTCTAGCTGCAGCTGCAGCTTGTTACCATCGCAACCCATACTCCTAACACAGCCGTGCCACAAGATCGAAACAGCGAGATCGAGTCTGTGTCTGAAACATATCGGCTCGGAAAGTACCGTTTTGTGCATGCGTATGAACGTGGCCTATGTATGCAGCCGGGTTATTTTATCCAACGGCTCTCTCTGCCGTTGCCGGCAAGCCACTTTATCGAACTGCAGACCCCTGTCACATCCCCTCAAGCTGCAATGAACGGACCTTTCTCGGAACCGGACGGTACTCGCAAAGTCCGTCTTGGTCGAATATATTCTAGGCCATTGGATAACCTCTGGGGAGGCGCGTATAAACGAGGATCGTAATTTGCCCAGCCTTGGCTAACACTTCATTTTGATGTCCGTAGCTTCAAGGTTGATTGCATGAATCAAGGGATGACAGCACTGCCCCATCCCTCGGACACTCTTAGACTCATCATGCGGACAGTAGGGGTGTGAAAATGATCCTGATAGTAATTTGTTCTTTGCTTCGTTTTCTCTTTGAAGCTCGGGTGAAAGGTAAGATCAAGGTAACCGTCCAATCCTCATGTTGCCCACCGTGTCACATTTTGAACTTATTCCGTGCGAAGTAAAAGTGAGAAATCGATTCTAACCAACTCACAGTGATACAAGAACCAGCGGTCACCGCCTGGAGGGATATCGACACGAGAATGACACTTCCACAGCGTTCAGTTGCATCACAGCAAAACCATGCCCAGTATGAAAAGATGGTCATGTGCTTTTGACCATCCAACACTTGGGACACGCTTCTCTTTTGGTGGGTTTCCAGGTCTCGGTGGTCATTTTTGCTGGCTCCGGAGGATCTCATCGATGCTTCTTTTCCTTCCGAAGTTTTTTTGTGGTCAGCCTTCCGTCAACCTTTGGCTCATTTCTTGGATGTTGAGACCCGGACGTTGCTATAACACCCTGGGGATTCCTTTATCTTGATGATCACCATTGATGATAACTGGCTCTGATTATGGCGCACGGGATATCTCTTCGTCTGCATGGCTACCTTTGTTGGTATGAGAGGCTTCCTCATCTTGGTGACCACCATTGCTGCGGCAATGGTTTGCCATTCTGGAGAGCTAATGTCTCTAACGATAGCATCCGAGTGAACCCAATTCCCAACTCCTCGATATCTGACTCAAAACGGCATATTCTCGGGATTGCGATCATGGGCAGATAAATCCTGATTTTGGTGTTACCATATCTTTTCGTTTATTGATTGGACTGGGCGACTAATTGGCTGACAAAGTCAAGCAATGGTCCACTGGTACCTCGGAGTGTAAACATGATGTCTGAGTTTGGTGACAAAGGGTGCAGAGAATCCAAGAAGACAAGAGGAAAACAGAAAAGTTCTTAGCTTGAAACCCAAGCCACGCAATGTAGATATTACAAAAGAGGCGCGATCTTTCTGTTAGTCTAGGTAATCACTCCACGCCTAGTGTCAGTAACACAGATAATGAAAGATTCAAGTAGTAAGAGCTGTTCATGATAGATGTAAGACAACTACAGGAAGGAACTTTTAGAAACATAGTATCTGGCCCGATGCCTAAACATCAAAATTCTGAATATGTACAATAGCCACCCGAAGCGCCGACGCACGGAACGTAGAAGTTAGAGAACGCCCGCTTTAAACCCTTTGAAAATGCGAACGAAAACAAAAAAAGAGAAAATGGGTCTAAATCCTAACGACTATCGTCGCATGTGGTCATAACTGGTGGGGAACAGTGGCAGCGAAGGGTCCACAACATCATTATGTGGTCTTCTGGCTGCCATTGAGATATCTTCGTCGCTGGGCGGAGCAGTGACCACGCGCGCGGGATGCGGGTGGGCTTCTGCATCCTCCTCGCCTCTTGCGATCTTCTCTAGGGACGACAACTCGGTCGTCGTTCCGGTGCGAGACCAGCGGAAAGAGTCACGGTCGTCGCCAAGAGGTTTGTACTTGGTGTCGGGCTTCTTGAGGAAAATGGCGTAAACCATACCAACCAGAAGGTAGACCAGAAGCACAAGAGTGAATATCGCATTAAAGATGAAGAAGAGTACACCCAGGATGCCAGTCATGAGATCAGGTTGGTCAAAAACGTCCGAGAAGACAAGTAGGAAGATCGTATTGAGGGAATTGAGTACTGTCGTTGTGATTGCAGCGACATTTGCACCCTTACTCATGAACGGCTTGATGATGGCGGTGGCAAGCATCATGCAAAGTTCCACAATAAGAAGAACGATCGATTGTGCGACCGGTGAAGGCTGGGCGAAGGCGATAACCATTCCTTTAACAATGGTGTAGACCAGAGTTGGGACAAGGAAGTAGTAGACTGGAGCGCGGTAATAGATATACAGGAAACCCCACTGGTTCAGAGTGGCAGGGTCGGAATAGAGCGTGTATGCAGGTGTGTTGTGCTGCTGTTTCGACCGTATTGCGCGTTGGAATACCTTGAATGCGGCAAAGGCTAAGACGGCAGTCGTCACTAGCCACATAGTAATGGCCAAGACAATTTCGGCAGCCGAGTCCCGGCGAGTCAATTCCCAGAGACACAGAACACACATCTGAGGGTATCCGATGCACGCCAGCCGGAAGAACGTATTGCGGAGAATAGGTTTCCAATCTGCGGTGGCGCCAATGGCGCGATCTAATTTTGGAACCGAGGTCTGTTTCTTGGCTAGAACGACTCGGACAACCAGAAACAGACCTACACAAGCGACGATGACCCCGGTGACAAAGTAATAGAATAGATATCCAG